TGGATAGATAGTGGATTTGACATAGAATCATAGAATCAACCAGGTTGGAAAAGACCTCCAAGATCATCAAGTCCAACCCCACCATGGTTACTAGGCCAAGGCACTAAATGTCACATCCAGTCTCATCTTGAAAACCTCCAGGAATGGTGAATCCACCACCTCCCTGGGCAACTCATTCCAGTGAGTATAAAATCTCTACCTAATATTCAACCCACACCTCCCCTGGCAGAGCCTGAGTCTGTGCGCTCTTGCAGCCTGCGCATAACACACTGAGAGGAATATCCAAAATCCAGGGAAATTGTTAAACACACTTACTGGAAATAAACTGGTAGTCTCAAACCTGAAAGCGAAGTGACTTCCTACAGAAAGGGTGTGATCACAGAATCACAGAGTGGTTTGGTTTGGAATGACATTAAAGCTCATCCAGTCCCTCCCCCTGCCATGGGCAGGGACACCTTCCACTAGTCCAGGTTGCTCCAAGCCCCATCCAACCTGCCCTGGAACACTGCCAGGAATGGAGCAACCACAGCTGCTCTGGGCAACCTGTGCTAGTGCCTCACTACCCTCACAAGGAAGAATTCCTTCCCTCCCATATCCCATCTAACCCTGCCCTCTGTCAGTGTGAAGCCATTCCCCCTTGTCCTGTCCCTCCAGGACCTTGTCCAAAATCCCTCGCCAGCTCTCTTGAAGTTCCTTTAGGCACTGGAAGGGACTCTTAAGGTTTTCCTGGAGCCTTCTCTTCTCCAGGCTCAACACCCCCACCTCTCCCAGACTGGATAAAGCTTTAATCTCTCCTCTTTTAGTTTCAGCTGGTTCCTCTTGTCCTATCACTGTCTGCCTCTGTCAAAACTCCCTCTCCCTCTGTTTTGTCATCCCCTGCAGGCACTGGAAGGCTGTAATTTTTCAGGTGATGCCAAACCAATGTGAAAGGAAGATCATAAACCCCAGTTTGTTTCTACAGAAGAACAGACTGTCTTGCTTCTATTCTTGGCTTTCTGCCTAATTTGGGAATTTTCTGCTGCCTCTTTTTCCCTGTCTTCTGTGGGTACCTTTGTGGGACACAGTTCTTGGTGTCGTGCTCCATGCTGATGCCTACAAGATTTGAACCTCAAGAATGTTGGCTCACATGGGCTTCAGAGGGGTCACAGTGAAATGGATTTTTCACTCTTTTTATTTGCCCATAGGTGAACTTTGCCATGTCCAGTGGAACCAGGTCCTTCAGACTAGATAAGTCATGGTTGTGGGAGAGGAGAGACCACACCGTGCTCAGGGAGGAGACATGAAGGTCTGGGATGGAGCAGGCAGGGAGACAAGCAGCTGCATTGGGGTGTTAGTCCTCAATGGCAGGACGTGTGGTCTCTCCTGCTTAAGCAAAAGATAATTGCTCTTTATTGAAGTTTTGGGTTGTGCTAAAGGCTAATTTCCACAGCCATATCCCTCCTCCTCATGGACTTTTCTCATGGATTGACCTGGATGTTAGAAGAGAGACAAGACAGCTCTGTTGGCCTTTGCCTGACTGGTGAGGCTTAGGTTGAAGCTTAAAAATAAGACCGATAAAAGAATAACTTCCCTTCTGAGTCTGCAGCTGCTGGAATCATGATGTTCCAGGACTGGGAGCAGAATTTGCATGGTGCATTGCTTGCTTTTATTCCATGAATGTGGATGGAGAATCGGAACAGGGCAAGCTCTGCCCAGGACTATGTGTTATTTTGACTTCCATAGACGTAACGTCCGATTAGTTCCGCAGCTTAGGGGCTGCAATTCTAGGGAAAAAAAATGGGAATGACATAAATGTTGGAAGAATTGGATTACATGGGTCCTGCTGCACTCAGTGACGTATAAGAGAGGTAACTTGGGTTGGAACCTGTGAAAACTAGGGAAGCTTTTGGTTTATGTTCTGGTTATTAATTTACTTGGAGGAAAACAAAATATTCTTTGTATAAATCCTTATTATAGGCCAAATTATGTATGTCACTGCTTAAGAAATCCCTCTGGCTTTGTGGGAGCTGACTCAGACTTGGGCATGGACTGCATTTGTTTGCTGAATGGGATTTTTGATAACTTCATGGCCTTTGTTTGGAAGACACTGAACCTGTGTTGACAATCAGGTATTGACAGGTGTTGCTTAAATTTCTGCCCATGAGGGACAAGTCTCTTCACTTTACAGGTATTTTCATTGTAGAGTAGTCTAAAACTCACCTGAATAGGCTGAAATTCCTGGTTTGAGCTCTGGAAATGCCTCTGCTGGAAGCTCCATCTTTCCTATAAAACAGGTTTTGTGTAAATCTGTGAGTTTGAGGCTGTGCTGAGTTTTAATTCACCTGCTTTGGGCTCTCAGGGACCCAGTTAAATCCATGCTGGGATTATGGTCTCTGAGGTCTTGATGCCATGTTAGATTTGGGATTATATCTAAGGCATAAGCAACAAAATCAGAGCAGTTCTTTAAATAGTCCTTTTGGTGTTTCCAAACTCCATCCTCCAGCTGAGGAAGCAGAGAAGGAAAATGCAGTGATTTTGCCTTAAAATAGTTTGATCTGACAAATTCCAATAATTTGCCTTTGCAGTAACTTACTCTGGAGGTGTTTTATCTCTTAAGGATGTGATTTGCTATGTTCATTCCCTTCGTGTCACCTGGAAGGATGTTTTTAGTGTGGCTTTACATATGGGAAGCACTGGGTAAGCTGTGAGCCCAAATCCTATGTTTACCTGTCCATTTTGAAGTTGTTTTGAACCAACCCATGACCTGTATTTGTAAGCCACACAATTCCTCGTGTGTTGCCAGCAGAAACCATCCCTCAGCTGAACACCACACAGGGTGGAAGTAGCATAGGAATGGAATTTGGGCTCAGACACAGATTTATTGTTGTGTTTTTTGGTTCATTTGTGTTTGAACTGGTCCATTCTTCTGGTACTGCCCTGGGAGCATATTTGCAGTCAATCCCCTGCCATTTTATATGCAAATGCTCTCTAAGATGATTCCCCCCTTGCTAATGCACTCGATTCTGCATTTTAAGCATCATCTCCAGATGCTTCAAGTCTGAGACTTTTTTTTAGGACTCCCTTTATCCCTTGCTGGCGTTTTACTGTCCAAAACATTCATGAGAAGCTCTTTACTTTTTTTTATCCGTCCCAAAACTTTCATCAAAGACCTGTTTTGATGGCTTAACTCAAAGCATTTGATCTTGAATTCATCTGCCTTCTGATTTTTTCAGCCCTGCAATTAATGTTGTCAGGCTTGATCTTTGACGCGACCCAGTGGTCAAAGGCAACTGTAGGGAGCTATAGCTGTAGCCAGACTTAGTTAAAAAAACCCTATTTGAATTCTTCTAAGAAAATGTAGCCTATTGGCCCTGGAGTGTGTTGGTTGTTAATGGTGTGAGCACAGGATTTGCTGGTTCAAAGGGATTGAGCCACAGAATTGTTAAGAGGTTGGAGAAGGGAAAAGATGGGGCCAGTTTGCACATCTCAGAAGTGTCAGGAGCCCTCAAGCCGCACAGCAGATACTCGACTCAAAACTCAAGAGGTCAGAAACTTCCCAGGGAACATCATCTTGCTGGAGGAATTTTGGCTCAGTGCTTTGTTACCTATATAAAAGACTCGATCAGCATGTGCGCTGTTGCCAGGTGTGCTCAACCCAGAGGCATCGGGCTTTCCCAGGAGCTCTGCTTTGATTTTTGGAGAGGTGGAATCCCAGAATTTGGGTACAGCCAAAGTTTTGAAGAGAGTCTTTCGAAAGTGTGATGTGCACAAAGCAAGTCAGACTGTGGCCACAGGAAATACACCCACACCGACCCTTGGCTGCCAGGAACTCTCCAAGTGTCTGATGTGTTTTTAGATACAGCTTAACGTTGTGGCTGTGATGATGTAACCAAGCTGTTCCCCAAATAAACAAACCTTCTCCTCCCTGGCATTGACTTTCCTTGGCCACATTCTCATGCCCTTTTCCTTGAGTTTTCAATGGCTCCAGTTGACAGGCTCATCTGACTCCAAGGTGAGTTGCTTGGTGAACCAACAGAACAGTCACCTGGATTAGTTGTGGGGTTTGATTTTGGTGTTTTCTTTCCCTCTCCCCTGGCATCCTTCCCTCAGCCAGCTCACTCTGGGGTCCGATGACTCCAAGGGTGTGGAGTTGCCCGTTCCAGCAGCACATCACAGATAGCGTCTCAGTCCCATGGGGATCCTCCATGCTGACCAAGCAGCAAGATCTCAGTTGTGTCACCCATTCCTATAGTGATCTTTTTTGACCCCATGAGTTAGGTTTACCACTGGGTTGGTTGGGAACGAGATGGTTAGAGGATGGGAAGCTAGGAGCTGGGAATGGTCTGCACTAACAGCAGTGAGTTCTCAGCAGTTTATAAGTCTCTGTCTTCATTCAGAGAAGACTTTGCAGGATGATTATTGTATTTTTCATGAAAATGTTTTTGACTTTCATTGTCAGTGAATTCAGGTATCACATGGGCTGAGACCAGTTTGCTGTCTTCAATAGTATGTGTTCCAAATGTATATTATGATTGTGTGGAGACCTCAGAGCACCCTCCAGGATCTGAGGGGACTACAGGGGAGCTGGAGAGGTATTCTTTGTTAGAAACTGCAGTGATAGGACAAGGGGTAATGGGTTCAAATTGAAGGAGGGGAAATTTAGGTTAGCTATTAGGAGGAAGTTTTCCCTGTGAGGGTGGTGAGACACTGGCACAGGCTGCCCAG